TAAACTTTTGTTTTATACAACTCCACAAGATTTATATTATTCTTGTAGAGTTGTATAACATTTCTTAGATTGTTGAATTTTGAATTTTCTATTAAAAAAAACCAATGAACTTTGTTAACATCTGTAATTTTGGTTTTATTAAACTCAAACAAATTTAAGAGTTGGTTTTTTTCTATTCTGTATACTCAAAGGAGTTGAAAATTAAAGTACTAATTAAAATTGTCAGTCTTGCCTCATTTCTTTCAGAGACTTGAAAAGTACTTAAATTTGTAAAGATGTTGTAGTATTATATAAAAATTAATTATGATATTAATACAAAAATTAATATAAAATGATTTTTTTTTTTTTTTAATTTTTCAAAACTTAGATTAACGTTTGATCAAAATATATATATATTTTTTTCTAATTTAAATTTGTTAATGATTTTCAATCTTGTTTAAGGTGGTATATATAAAAAAAAAAAAGTAGTTGGGAAAAGGGAAGGGGCAAAGCTTGCCTTGACTTTCGAAATTTGATATTTTCATTACAATATTTCATAAAATTTGTTAAAAACTATTGAGTGCTTTAATGACATTATACAGCTATTTCATAAAACTTCTCTAGTCACAAAATGATGCTGACAATAAAATGAAAAGATCAGGACATATATTAGAATCACTTTTAATTTTATTTCTTAATACTGTTATTTTATTTTTATTTTGCTCTGTTATTTCATGTTTAATTTTGCACTATTTCATTTTTAGGCCGTTACATCTTTGTATCCGCTCTATGGTACCAGATTTGGTTATGCTTTATCTAATGGTACTGTAGGTGTTTATGATAGAAGTGCAAGGTACTGGAGAATAAAGGTATTATTGTTGTTGTTCATGACACTTTACTTTGATGATGATATAATCTTCTAGATTTAGTTTTCTTTATAGTCAAAAAATCAAGCAGTAACCATTCATAGCTTCGATTTGGATGATGATGGAGTCCCTGAACTAATTACAGGATGGTCTAATGGAAAAGTATGTTTCCTAATTTTTTATTGAGAAAAGCATAAATTTTATTTCATTACTGAATCTTGTTTAGATGTGCAGTGTTTGAATTATGTGTATTAATTTTGAATTATTTTTCATAATAGTTGCTACTGATCCTGCACAGTAAAGGATGTTGTTTTTTTTAAAAAAAAGATTGCCTGTCTGAGCCAAAACCCTGAGTCAATGAATGTACATTCCTCACATGTTTTACCAATTTCAGTTAATGTATGTACACTCCGCTGTGCAAATCCATAAATCAGTCAATAAAGAAATTAATAAAATAAAGTTGAATAATAAAAACAGTATAAAACATTAAAAAGATTAAAACAAAAACATTCTGCATTAAAAAGAAAAATTCAACTCAATTAAATTTGTGTTTTTGTAGTAATTTAAAAATATTTAATTTTATATGCATTCACAATTAATTGAATGGTTTTGGGTTTAAGACAACACAAGGCTTCTGTATATTGGCTGGTGTCTGTTGTACTTAGGCTGGTGTCTGTTGCTCTTAGGCTGGTGTCTGTTGCAGAAGAAGATTCCAAAAAAGACATTTGTTAGACACATTTAAAGCTAAAAAATAGAAACCATCCTATAGTTTTAACCAAGTCAGTTTTTAGTAACTAAAAAAAAAAATTTTTATTTTTCCCCTTAGTTATGTTAAAATAGTTAATATTTTTTATTTCAAATTTAAAATGTTCTTAAATAACTGTCCAAAATATTATAAAATTCCGATCTTTTATAATTTGAGTAACCTAAGTTCTGACTTTTGTATTTTTGCTCTGTTTCACAGTTATCATGGATCCTTATAATGCCAACCTAGCTGACCCAAGAACGCTACTCATATGGAAATACAGCCCAATTTTAAATCAATCAATTTTATAATGTTTTAGATTTGTCTGCAGAAAACAAATATTATTTCAATGTTCAAATGAGTTAAATTTTAATTTAATAGTTTACCAAATAAACACCTGTAGAATGAGAATAACTCTATATAATTTGATAAAAATTGGTGCAAATGTAATCCTTTGCCAAACCAAACTCAGAATAATATTTTAGTCTGATTGGTTAAGGTTTCATGGTTTAAATTTTTTTAGTTTTTTGCTAGTTATACCTCAAAACTTTAACGATTATTGCTATTTAAAGTGAATATATCAACATTTCCTTAGGTATAAACTACTGCTAAAATGCAAAAAATGCTAAAAAAAAAAAGTACAAATCCTGATTGCAAGTTTGTTAAACAAACAAAAAAATAACTCACCATTAACAAAATTATTTATTGACTTTTAGAACCTTCTTAATTACATTTACTTTAAGTGAAAATTAAGTGAAAAAATAACTATTTAAACCATATTTTTTACATTGTATTACCATCAAATATCATCTACATTTTAAGACATTTTCTTTGATTTTTGACAAAAAAATTTATCAATAAATAGCTCAATATAGTCTTTAGTACCAATACTCTACAATACTATAAATATCAAATTCCATAGTATTTATATCAAAATAAAATATCTTAGTTCATATTTTTTAAACTAATAACATTTAATTAAAGTATTAAAAATGTTCATTATAAACAAATTTCTGTTGCCAAATCTCTAATAACTCAGATTGTGCTAGCAGTTCTTTAAAGTTGCTTACAACAAGATGCCAAACTGGCCAAATCAATTATGCAGTACAACAATCTTTCTTTGTACTCTGGGTTTTTCCTTATACCTTTACTAATGTTGATAAAATGTTTAATAAGCAGTTTCTACAGTTTCACTATAGGGTCTCAAGGAGGATAGAAGATGGTATGAACTTTGGGTGTTATACTTGCACTAGTTATCATTAATACATTTTGAAATTTTAAATCTTATCAGTAAAATCTCGATAAAGGATGAATCCATAGCAAGTCTTGATAACTAAATTGAAACTTTCGAATGCTTCAATTATGTGAACAATTTTGGGAATCATTTTTGTATCAGCAAGTTGCTGCAGCATATACACATGTTTAAGAAGCTTTTATTTCCTTAAATCCTTTTTAGCGGTTATCTTAGTACCAAATAATTTTTATATTGAATAAGAAAAAGAAAGCGTGGTGTAATTTGTACATATCTTTTCATATGTAATGGTTACACCAATCATTGTGATAACCATCTAGTAAAGGAAGAAGATAAACAGTCAGCCAATCATATGACAGTCAGCCAATCATATGACAGTCAGCCAATCATATGACAGTCAGCCAATCATATGACAGTCAGCCAATCATATGACAGTCAGCTGAATTATATGAATCTGATAATGATAGTAATATGAAATTAAATCATTATTAATTTTTTTTTTTAGAAAAATCAATTTCTTTTATATTTTTTGACATTGAACTGCAAAATAAACATTAGCAGTAATATAAATAAAAAATTCAATTTACAATAATATATTTGTTTTAATTACAGTCTTCCCTTGAAGCATAATATAAAAATAGTAAATGATAAGTACCTTAAGGAAGCAGATCACAAATACAATGGTCGAGAATTCATGTATCCCATATCGTACAGGGTCCAAATTTTATGATACTTTAAGCAATTCACTTAAGAATACACTAAATTTAAAATCAAAAATATTAATTATTTGGGCGTAGCCAAGAAAAAGGAAAAACCTATTTATAATTAGTTAATATAAACTGTCCTGGTTAGATCTAAAGGATGATTTTTTATGTATAGTTTAGCACTTACAGGGACAGATTTTACAAAAAAATAAACACTTGCGGGGACATTAGTATTATCAGGGACATTTTAGTGTACCCGTTAATTTTTTGTCCCCATAAACATGACTTTTTTGTAAAAAAATGTACCCGTAAGAAACTTTTATAGAGATTGAAAAGTACATACATCGACTGACAAATAGCCTGACTTGCAAGGGAGTGCTGCTACATCGACTGAGGGTTTGGTTTGGTTTTAAATAGCAAGGGTATATATATATATATATATATATACCCTTGCTATTTAAACTAGTAATATATATTTTAAAAAAAAAATACAAAATCTTTATTACTTAAGTGTAAAGTTGCATAATTCTAAGTCAGGTAAGAAAGAAATTTATTTAATAATCATTAAAACTCTTATCAGTTAAGCTTTTTGTTGTTGTTGTGTATTTTGACAAAATTAAACTTAATGAGATATAAAATAGTAAAACATTTATATTTTATTAAACATGTTAACTTTAAAAGAGTTGATAATTTAGATAAGTTGAAAAAAGATGCAGTTAATAGATTAATCAACAGAAAAATATTTAATAAAATGTCACCTAAAGGGTGTCATCCAAAATCCATAAATAGAAAATTATTTAATAAGTTGTCACCTGAAGGGTGTCATCCAAAATCCATAAACAAAAAAATATTTAATAAAATGTCACCTGAAGGGTGTCATCCAAAATCCATAAGCAAAACATGAATATGAATATACCACTTAACAACTTTATTTATAATAAAGATTTATCCAACACCATTTATCACATTGGTAGTCTAGTTGAGTGGTTTTCTATTAGATTATGATAATTTTTATTATATTTTATATTATCCTTTATATTTTATTCTATTGTATGATTTATATTTTATTCTATTGCAAATTTTAAAGTTTTGATAATTTAGAAAAACATTATACCATAATTAGTTTGGTATGATAGCATAATCCTAAAGATTTTTTGTGTTAAATGTTCATAACAAAACTTTAATTAATTAATTGATAAGTAATAAGAAAATCTAAATTTTTAAACTAGGTTGATGGGCGTAGTGATCGAACTGGTGAAGTGATTTTTAAACAAAATTTATCATCAGCAATTGCTGGAGTACTTGATGCTGACTATCGTATGGATGGAAAAAATCAGCTAATAGTTTGCTCTATGGATGGAGAAGGTTAGGTTTAAACATTTTTACAAAATTGTTCTAGAGCTATTAAGTGTAAAGAATATTACATTCAAAAAAATGAAGAAAAAATGAACAAA